TTATCAGCATGACCCTCATCTTCGTCGGCATCTTCAGCCTCATCATCTGTCAGCGATCAACATCCCCATCATTGTCGTCCTCGAGCTTCCTGTGGGGCCAGGGCCACGATCCTCGAGAGGGGTGTGCCGAAATGAAGCCTCGGTGGAGCTCCCTGTGGGGCCAGGGCCACGATCCGTGAGAGGGGTGCGCCGAAATCAAGTTTCGGTGGAGCTCCCTGAGCCACGATCCTCGAGAGGGGTGCGCCGAAATCAAACCTCGGTGGAGCTCCTCGTGGGGCCAGGGCCACGATCCGTGAGAGGGGTGCGCCCTTTGGGGCCTGTATGGGACTCCGCAGCAGTCCCGAAAGGACCTTCCGAGCAACGCCGCCGGGCCCTGCAGACCCCCGCAGCGGCCTGGCGAGGCCTCGCGGCGTTGCTCGGACCAGGGGCCCTGCAGGGCCCGTGCGTGGCCCCGTGGTGTTGCTCGGGGGGGGGTCGAGCAACTTGCCTCCAGTAGTGTCCTCGCGAACAACACAACAACAACAACAACAACAACAACAACAACAACAACGACAACAACAGCAACAACAAGCAACAACACAAACAACAACAAACAACAACAACAACAACAACAACAACAACAACAACAACAACAACAACAACAACAACAACAACAACAACAACAACAACAACAACAACAACACAACCACAACAACAACAACAACGACAACAACAACAACAACGAAAACACAACAACAACAACAACGAAAACAACAACAACAACAACAACAACAACAACAACAACAACAACACACAACGACAACAACAGCAACAGCAACAGCAACAGCAACAGCAGCAACAGCAACAACCACAACAACAACAACAACAACAACAACAACAATCACTTTACCCGAACGCTCAGTGTTCTCACCAGTGCCAGGGTTTTCATGCGACGCCAGCCAATACCCCCACTTTGTGGGGGGGCAGTGCAAGCTCTACCAAATATCCACACGACTCTTCGCCACCACCCACACCCAGCTTCCCGCCCTATGACGTTCGGACACTTCACTTCGTGGCCTGCGGACGACCGTGGCTACTACACTGGCGTGGAGTACACACCCACAGAAGTTGTTAAGCCTACGTTCGTACACCCACAGAAGTTGTTAAGCCTTGTTAACCCACAGAAGTTGTTAAGCCTTCCACAGAACATCTGTTGCATATGATGCATATGGTACATGATACACATGATACACATGATACGTACTCACAAGATAGTTGATCACATCTTTAGGGCAAATTCCTGAGGGATGTGGGAATACACAAGAGAGAGAGGATATGGTTGTCCCGATGGTTGTCTCGATGGTTGTCCCGATGGTTGTCCTGATGGTTGTGGTTGTCCCGATCGTTGTCCCGATGATTGTCCCGATGGTTGTCCTGATGGTTGTGCTTGTCCCGATCGTTGTCCCGATGACTGTCCCGATGATTGTCCCGATGGTTGTCCCGATGGTTGTTCCGATGGTTGTCCCGATGGTTGTCCCGATGGTTGTGAGCGATGCCGGATCCTCACGCCCCCCGCCGGAGGAGGAGGAGGAGGAGGAGCAGGACAAGGAGGAAAGGAGAGAAGAGAGAGGAGGGGCGGGAACGGCGCTTGCACGCCCACCCACCGTCTTTTCCCCGCCGCGGCTCTAAAGAGACGAGTTCGTGTGCTCGTCATCTTCTGGCATACGCCCGTCCCTGATGGCACGGATGGGGCGCAATGCTGCCAGCTGGGCTCCTGGCAGAAATACATCAGGGGCCAAGTGTCCAAGCATGGTGCCGATACGCCTCCTCACGGATACATCGCCCGTGCGTGCGAGGGGCGCCAATACCGCCAGGACGCCCTGGACATGCGCCGGCATACGCAGATCCACCTGGTAATCCATGACATTGCCATACTGGGACTGCCCGCAAGAACGCCATACTGGCATGTGCCACCAATGGTCCTGCTTCGGGAAATAGGTGATACCATCGTTGACGTCGTGGGAGGCATTCCACAGAGACATAGATTGCGGCTCAATACCCATGGGTCCCGTGTGTGTTGCCACAAATACGTCCAGGCTCGCCATGCGCCTGTACGACAGACCTGATACCACCTCGGAGTGCACGTGAATACCCAGGAGATGCAACAGCCTGCGCAAGCCCGCATACACCCAGCCGCCGGGCCCGACGAAGACGTGCGCTCTCCAGTATTTGAAAGCTGTATTATACTCGATGCCCAGGTGGCGGATGGCAGAACCGTGCTGCTCCTCCAGCTCCTGGGCGCTAGAAATACTAACCTTGCCAGGCACAACCCGATACTTGCCCCACCAAGTCTTGCACGCCTGGTGACTGACCTGGATACCCTTTGCAACGAGCGCCTGATGCAAATAATACGGGCTCTCGCAGTCGGCCAAGGGAGGCCGCGACAGCTCCGGGCCATACTGCTCGTCAAGGGCTTTCGCCGTCAAAGCCATGGACCATCCAAGAACACAGGCGATACCTTGATCCGAGATGGCTACGGATGTGCCAGTGATCAGTCGGAGGCTTCCTGGGGCCGCTTGGGGTCCTCTTGGGGAAGGGGGGAAGCCTCCTGGCGCCGCTTGGGGTCCTCTTGAGGGGCTTTGGGGGGTTTCTTGGAAGCATCTTGGGGCCTCTTGGGGGCTTATTGGGTCCTCACGGCGGGCTCTTGGGGCCTCTTGAAGGCCTCCTGGGGCAACCTATGGCGCAACCAGTAGGGGGACGTTTTATTCTCGGCGGCCGAGGGCGCAACCTATGGCGCAACCAATAGGGGGACGTTTTATTCTCGGCGGCCGAGGGCGCAACCTATGGCGCAACCGCAAGGGATTGTGGCCCCTGGCAGGCGCGCGAACCCCGTTGCAAGAGCGTGCGAAAGTAGCTCGCGCGAGCTCATGTAACATAAATGTTGGAAAACCATTGGTTTTTTTAGGATTCGGACAGCGCGCGCGGGTGGAAATTTTGAAAAGTCGTGCAGGTGTTTTTCGAGGACCTACGGTGCGATTCGTGTGATTTTATGATGCGCGGTGCTAAAATTCTTAAGAAGCCCAATGGTTTTTGGAGATTTCGGCGTGCGCGCGCGAAGAAAAAACGAATGTGTCCCGCATGGTATTATTTGACAGGGATGATGGCCCTGGCAGGTGCGCAACCGTTGTCGCAGAAGTTCGAAAAAGTTGCTCGCAAAAGCCCGTTTGACAGAAATGTTTAAAAAGTGTTGGGTTTCCTACGAATCCGCAAGAGCGCGCGGGATGAGATTTTGACAATTTGTTGTTGAAAAACCATTGGTTTTTTGATGTTTTTATGTTAAAATCGCTGCGAACACTAAGGTTTTGGAAGGATTTCGTCTTGCGCGCGCGAATGTCCACTTTACCTTATTTTTTGCAAGGGATTCTTGAAATTTGATTATATTAGAACAAGAAATGTCATTTTCTATTGTTTTTTGCAAGGGAAAGCGGATTACAACAAAACAACCGGATCCTGTACACACCCTCTTTTCTGAGGCTTCCTCACGAAAATGATGAAAATGTAGCTGCGGCCTAGGCGGCGCAGGGGGGGCGCGCACCAGGGGGCCCAACAATAATTATTCTTTAGAATAAATAATGTTCAACAACAACAACAACAACAACAACAACAACAACAACAACAACAACAACAACAACAACAACAAACGACGACGACGACGACGACGACGACGACGACGACGACGACGACGACGACGACGACAACAACAACAACAACAACAACAACAACAACAACAACAACAAAACAAGCCTCCTTCCTTCCCTCCCGCTGCCCTCCTCGCTTCTCACATGCTTGCCTCTGTCCACCGCATGTTCTCGTCTTCATCAGCAGCATCATCATCACCACGACCATCATCGTGATCCTCATCCTTATCCTCATCACAATCATCACCATCGTCATCGCCATCGCCATCGGACAGTCTGGCACACCCCTCACGCGTTTCGTGACCCCATAGGGGAGCTCCACCGAAGGCCCAAACGTCAGGGTCCGCACGGCGTACCCGCAACTGATTCGGCACACCCCTCACACGCTTCGTGGCCCAGTAGCTTCATCGCAGGCCCCAGTGCCAAAGTCCGCACGGCGTACCCGCAACTGATTCGGCACACCCCTCACACGCTTCGTGGCCCCCTAGGGAGCTCCACCGCAGGCCCCAGTACCACAGTCCGCACGGCGCACAAACACCCGATTCGGCTCACCCCTCACACGTTTCGTGGCCCCATGGGGAGCTCCACCGCAGGCCCCAGTGCCACAGTCCGCACGGCGCACCAACACCCGATTCGGCTCACCCCTCACACGTTTCGTGGCCCCATGGGGAGCTCCACCACCGAAAACGACCCTCACAGCTGCGGCACTTGCAACTGCACATGGCTTGGCCCTTTGCCGGGATAACTCGTCGCTCCACGACGCGAGGGGCCTGGGCTGGAGGCCTGGTCCCTTCGAGGACAGCGGCTCCAAAGACTTGGACCCCTTCCCCAAGACCAGCTTTTCATCCCGAGTCTCCCTGTGCCGGTCCCAGGACACGGCACGGGACACGAGAAGCCGAAGATCGCCAAAAGACTGCCGTCGCTATACGTTTTGCTCCACGGCGCCAGGGTGCCTGGGCTGGAGGAGGGAGGAGGGAGGAGGGAGGAGGAGGGAGGGAGGGAGGAGAGAGGAGGAGGAGGAGGAGGGAGGAGGGAGAGGGAGGAGGAGGAGGAGGAGGAGGAGGAGGAGGAGGAGGAGGAGAGGAGGAGGAGGAGGAGGAGGAGGAGGAGGAGGAGGAGGAGGAGGAGGTAGGAGGTAGGAGGTAGGAGGTAGGAGGTAGGAGGTAGGAGGTAGGAGGTAGGAGGAGGAGGAGGAGGAGGAGGAGGAGGAGGAGGAGGAGGAGGAGGTGGCCTGGGCACTTTGAGCACAGCGGGCCGACGGAACCCTCCGCGCCGCACGGGGCTGGGCCTCTCCGCCCCCGGGGCCCCTCCGCCGGCAGGGGGCTCCTCCTCGCTGGTCGAGCGGCGGCGGCGAGCCGCGGGCGGAGTCGGCCCTGGGCCGCCGGTGCCTGTTGGCGAGCAGGCGGCTGACGGACCTCGGGCGGCAGGCCGAACCCAGGCCCCCCTCGAGGAATGAAAAAATCACGGCCAGAGGTTGTTCGCCACTGTCGGCCTCTGGGGGCCCTTCCCGGGCCTCGGGGCCGTCAGGAAACGACTCGGGATGCCAAACCGGTGCCTGGGAATAGGTCGAGACCTCGGGGGGTCGACGTTTTGACAGAGCATGACGTCGGGGGTCTGGGAAGGGGGGCGGGGCGACCCCCAGGTCAGGGCGACGCAGAGGAGCCGCGACGGCGAGCTTTCGTCGTGGCCAGCCTCCGGAGAGAGGCCGTCTCCCAGCCGCGGGGCCAGAAAAAAAACGGCTCGGGGTGCCAAAGAGTGGCCCCAGGGAGAGGGCCGAGATCCTTGGGGGGCCAACACGCCGCGACGGAGCTGCGGCGTCGGAGCCAGAGGGGGCACGGGGGGGGGCCTGGCCCCTGCTGAGAAGCCGGCGGGCCTCTCAGGACGCTCGGCCGCGACGCCGACGGCGAATCCGGCCCAGAAGAAACAACAGCTGCTGCTGGGCTTTGTACCCGTTGTTCCCGCACAACGCTCGGTCCCCCCGACAACACCATCGGACTTGGGATGAAGGCTGCCGGGGCCCCCGGACTCGGGGGCGCGCAGACATGGATCAGCGATCCATGGATCTGGCGCGCGGCCGGTGCCGCCTCGCTCGGCGGCGTGAGTCTGCAATTTCCCCCAAGGATACGGGACCCGTCGCTAATCCACGCCCCCTTGATCCACGTTTGCGATCGCCTGACACGACGGGTTTTGTACCTGAGTATCGTTCATCCGATCCCCATCCCCAGCGGCGCGGCCTGGGCCCCACTGGCCGACTTACCCCCCCTAGATGGGGATACAGGCTGCTCTCTTCGGGCTCCGAGGGGCATACCCCCAGCTGAGGTGGCAAGAGGGTGGGGCTCGAGATGTGGATGGGGATGGGAATAGGGATCGGCTAAGCGACCCTGAATACTCCAGATTTCGTAATAATAAAGGGAGGGGGTTCTCATGTCGGGGGGGTCTCTTCCAGGCTATCTTGGAGGGCCTGGGGGGGTCTGGGGACGTTGTTTTGGAAGGTTCTCCCACGGGGGGGGGGGTCTGAAATGGCTTGTCTTGGAGGGTCCAGATCCCCTCCCTTTTATTACGAAATCTGGGGTACCCGTTGTGCCCGTACCGGGCTCGGTCCCCCCGCTCAGTACCACCGAGCTCGGGGGAGCAAGGCGGCGGGGCCCCCGGCTCTCCTCCTCCTCCTCCCCTCTCCCCCCCCTCCTCCTCCTCCTCCTCCTCCTCCCCTCCTCCTCCTCCTCCTCCTCCTCCTCCCTCCTCCCTCCTCTCCCCTCCTCCTCCTCCTCCTCCTCCTCGCCCCCCCCCCTTCTCGGAGAGGGCCCGCCAGCCTCTCGGCGCCGCCCCCCCCCCCCTCTGTTCCGGACCCCGGACGCCATGACATCTCTCGTGACGTCGCCCCCCAGAGGCTTCGACCTGCTCACAGGTCGGGAGTGTCCCCCTACAGGGGGAGTCTGGGCGAACAATCACGAGTAGTCCAGACATCCTCAAAAGGAGTCCAACGGGCGTGTCCCCCTACAGGGGGAGTCTGGACGCACAATTACGAGTAGTCCCGAAATCCTCAAAACAGGAGTCCACAAATCGTCCCCAGACTGTCTCTGTGCTAGCTTCGAACATGCCTCCTGTAGAGGGAGAGGCCCGACTGAAGCCTGCCCCCCCTGGACCGGTCCTTCATCCTGAGCTGTTTCTTGACGGCCAAGGGGCCCGGCGAGGGGACCCCCCGAGGCCGACGAGGGCGAAAACCCTCCCGCCCCGATGCTGTTCCTTCCTTCGGGAGCGGCCAAGAGGGGGGTGTCCAAGAGGGGGGGTGCAAATCATGACCGGCGGCATGTGCGCGGCCCAGCGGGGGGGCCAGGGACGTAATGAAATACGAAGAGGCGCCATGAAATCTGGGGAAATATCATGGCCCACGCCATGATATCCACCCCCCCCTAGTCATCACCCCCCTCTTCTCCGCCCCCGAAATTTCTCGGGGGGGTCTGGGTCTGCGCGCCGCCCCCGGGGCCTGGTGAGCCGGCGCTCGAGGTGGCGGAAGCACTCCTGCGGAGACGCGGCCGGCCCGGGCGCGCGCGGCCGGGGCGCCAGGACGAAGGGGCCCACGAAGACACGAGCAGAGACACACAGATTCCAGGATTCCGCACGGTTGCACACGTTTTCTGGGTTCCAGCCCCGCCCGCCCCCCACTTCCCACAGTGTCGCACAGTCTCCTGGGGATCGACCATGACTTGCGTTTTTGTATGTTTCTTCCCCTCCTGACAGGAGCGGCTCAGGCCCCGGAGCAGTCCTCCGTCGCCGCCGCCGCCGCCGTCGGGTAGTCACCGCCGCCGTCGCGGGAGTGCTGCCCCTGCCGCCGCTGCCGCCGCCGCCGCCGCCGCCGCAGCCGCCGTCGCCGTCGTCGTCGGCCGCGCTCGGGCGCTCGGCGGCTCCCACGGCCGCGAGGGCGATCGCAGCGGGCACCACGGCCGCGCGCGCTCGACGTGCTGCGGCAGCGCTTCGACTCAGGCTCGCCAGCGCCCCGCCTGCGCTCCTGCGACTCGCGGAGCGGGCCGAGCGTGAGACTGACGCGGCACTGCGCCAAGATCCCGCGGAAGACTCCATGCAGGGGTTGGGGGGAGAGATGTCCCAGCCCTGATTCCAGACCGGGGCTGACGAAGCACAGGCAAGCAGGCTGAGCGCATGGCAGGCAGGCACAGGAACAAACGCGCAGGCACGTAAGCGAGGAGGTACAGTCGGGGCGGTGACCTAAGGAACCCTAAACAAGGAACGAGGCCCCTTTTTTCCACAAGTTAAACTTCGCTTTACCATTGAAAACCGGAAGCAAAACCCAAGGCAAACTGTGAAACAATCAAGGAACACCAAGCCCCTCCCCAACGAACAGGGTTCCTTCTTCAGCGCCCCGACTGTATGCACCAGGCCGGGCAGGCCAGCAAGCACGAGCACTCACGAACGCACACCAGCATGCAGGCAGACATGGGCAACATCCTCACGCAAGGATACACGCTTCCCCGGCAGGCCCCGGTCGGCGCCCAGCCGCCGGGCCACGGCAACGAGCTGCTGCAGCGAGCTCGGAGGATGACCACGGCGAGGCCCAACGATGCGAGGGTGAGGCGAGAGCAGGGCCAGGGACCGCGCTCGGCCGGCGAAGAGCCCCCCGCGGAAGGCGAGGGGGGGGCGAAGCGGAGGCAGCTCGGAGCTCCACGGACGCAGGCGCACGGCCCACGCAGTGCGGGAAGCAACGGCTGCTGCGCCAGGGAGTGCTGCGCAGAGGGGTCGGCCACGACAAACCCCGATGTGCATGTCCGCCACCGTGCCCGTGAGGCACGCGCTGGAGTGTCCTCCCATCCTTGGCCCCATCCTTCGAGACTCGGTCCCCGAATCCGAAGGAGGCTTCAAAGGGGGCCCAGGCCAAACTTTGCCAGAGTGGCCGGGGCGCGCCGCGTGGCCCCCGGGGGCCCGTCGCGTCCTCTCGCGTGACGTTTCGGACCCAAGAGGGCCCCAAGACGGGCCAGGAGGGTCCCAAAAGGCCCCCAAGACGGTCCAAGACGGGGGGGCCCAAATCGCCGCGCGAGATCGGTCCGAGACGCCCAGGAGGGCCCCAAGACGGCCCAAGAGTCCTTCGAGGCGCCCCAAGACAGCCCCGAGAGCCTTCCCAAGAGGGTCCCGACGGCCAAAATCACTGATTCCCCTCAGGTTTTAATGTGTTTGGGGGGGGGCCCTCGACTTTTCGAGCCTCTAACGCTTCAAGACGGCCCAAGAGGACCTCAAGACCGCCCCAAGACGGCCCAAGAGATCCCCAAGAGGCCCTGAACCCCACAAGAGGCCCCAAAACGGCTCCACGGAGGTTGGAAGCATCTTGGAGCTCTCGTGGGGATCATCCGAAAGCCTCGGACGCGCATCGGAGGCGGAAATGCGAACAAGCAAAGGGCATAGATTTTCCGTAGGTGCTTCCATGTATTGACCTCTCGGGGACGTCCTTAGAGGTTATGTGGGCAGTGTTTGGAGCCTCTCGGAGGCCTCTTGGCACTGCCTTGGGCGCTCGTGGGGGTCTCGCGGCCATCGGGAAAGTGTCCTGAGTCGTCCCGACGTTTCCTGGAGCCGCCTGGGAGGGCCAGGAGACCGTCCCGAGGCTCTCTTGTGGCCGCCTGGGAGAGCTGGGCGGGCGCTACCAGAATTCCCCCGAGATGTCATCAAGGTGGGACCCGGAGCCATGAAGGGGTCGTATAAACTTACATTACATATGTACATGTGTGTGCCAACCATCGTGGATCCCAAACACTACGATTCGAACAACAGATGTTATACAAAACAATGTGGAATAATATACGTGGTGCCATATATATATATATATATATATATATATATATATATATATGTGTGTGGTAAGTGTGTATTTTGATGTACAAACTTACGTACAAAAATAAAGTGAAGTGTGTGGATGTAGAGATACATATATACAGCTATATAAACATATATATATATATATACATATATATATATGTATAAATATATATGTGTGTGTCTATATAGATATATATGTATATAAGAAATATATATATATAATATATATATATATATATATATATATATATTCCTCTTCCTATATTTGTATGAGCCCAGGCGGGGGGGAAACCCATCCCCCCCCCAAAAAAAACCGGACTCCCAGGATCTGGGGCTTTGGGACCCTCTGGACGGGCCTCGAAGCGGCCCCCCTGGCCTCGCAGTGCGTTTTGCCAAGCCTTCCCAGCAGACCTAGGGCGATCAGGGGGGTCATCGGAGACGTCTCAGAGACACCCATGACAGCGCAAGAGCGCTCCAAGAGTGACCGACGTGACCTCAAGATGGCCCAAGAGGCCTCCAGGACGGCCCCAAAGAGGCCTCCAAGAGCACTCCCAAGAGGCAAAAATCATTGATTTTCTGTTAGTTTTTGGTGAATTTTGGGGTTCTCCTCTTTTCGGCTTCCCGACGCTCCAAGACGGCGGTCTTCTGGGCGTCCGAAGCCACCTGAGAGGCTCCAAAATCGCCCCACAACCATCCGAAAGGGCTTCCAGGCAGTCCAAAAAACCCCAAAACGGAACAACACGGGTCCAAGATGGCCCTCGGAGAGCCCCATGGCGGCCCAAGATGGCCCCAAGACAACCTCCGAAGCATTCCAAATCGTGACCCGGTCGTTCAGGGAGACCGTGGTTGGAGGCAGGGTGGCCCGAGGAAGCCCCCAGAGGCCCCCAGAATACGCCCAGGAGGCCTCCAGAAGGCCTTAAGAAAGCCTGAGACCATTTTTTTCAGGCCCCCAGAGGATCTCCCAGGAGGAGCCTCCGCAAAAAAAAGCTGAGGAGGATAGGGAGAATGCGCAGGGTATGGCGAACATGAGGAAAAAGAAGCATGGAGGAAGGACAACGAATATCATTATCATAGCGGCGATGCCGGAAAAGGCAACAAGGAGTAATCGCTAAATTGTCGGCTTGACCTTCCTGCCATTTCCGCCTGCAAACCAAACTTCAAGGACCAAGGTGCATGGCGCGAAGCGCCATTGCAGTCTTGTGTGTATATATATATATGTCTGTATATGTATATGTATGTGTACATGTATGTATGTATGTATGCATGTATGTATGTATGTATGCATGTATGTATGTATGTATGTATGAATGTATGTATGTATGTATGTATGAATGAATGTATGTATGTATGTATGTATGTATGTATGTATGTATGTATGTATGTCTGTATGCGTGCGTGCGTGCGTGCGTGCGTGCGTGCGTGCGTGCGTGCGTGCGTGCGTGCGTGCGTGCGTGCGTGCGTGCGTGCGTGCGTGCGGTGTGCAGCCTACGTGGTGTGCTTTATGCGGTGCAATATCTGGGGTGCAACATATGTGATGTAACCTATATAGCGCGCAGTCTATGCAACGCAGTCGACGTGGTACAAGATGTGGTGCCGGTGATTATAAAGATTTTGGAGTTGCCAACTCCACTGTTCGCACAAGCCACCCACCCCCCACCCACCCGCAACTTGGTTAGCAAAACCCATGCGTCGACGATTACGATGAGTGCTTGGCGTTGGCTGGTACATCTCTGCGACCGCGCTAGCCAGCGCATGCTCGCGCGCACGGCGGTCAGCTAGTTCGGCGCGACCGACGCGGCCGCGATGGCGCTGACCGCTGGGCACTTCCCAGCGGGCTCTTCAATTCGAGTCGGTGACTTGGGCGGGCGCGGTATCAAGGCGACGTCGACAACGGTAGCCACGATGATGATACTAGCGATGATGGTGATATCATAACGATGACGACGGTAAGGCCAATAACGGCGCCGATGCTGATCACGCCGATGACGATGACGGTGTCTAAGCGTCGGTAATGAGGGTTTGGAAGTTCGGAACGCGCGCGCGGCCGACGCGCGGGAGTAGCCCGCATTGTATTACTTGACAGGGTTCGTGCCCCCCCAGCACGCGCGCAAGGCCGTTCGAATGATTTCGGTATGCGGCGCGAGAGGCCCGTTTGGTCGAGTTGGATGGGAATGTTGTAAAACCTGTGGTTTTCTTCCGAATTCGCAAGAGCGCGCGCGCAGACCTTGATTGAAAACTGAAATTCGAAAATCATGAGCTTTTCTATGTTTTCGGGACACTCGATTTTAGCACGCGCGCGCGACGACGATCGCGCAAGGGATGATTTCGACATGCGCGCGCGAGAGGCACGCTTAGTAGGAGAATGCTGTGAAAACGTAGAAAACCCCAAGGGCGCGAGCGCAGGCTTTTCTGAAAATTCCTGTCGCGGAACCATTGGTTTTCAAATGTTTTCGGGACACTCGATTTTGAAATCCCTGCGAACGCGAAGGTTCATGGAGGCTTCTGGCATGCGACGACGCGCGCGTGTGCACTTCGTCCCAGTACTATGTTGGACGGGATGCTTGAAAACTGCTGGTTTTTGACGAGCGTGCGCGCATAGTATCTGTTGCAGGGGATGAGGGGGGGCAGCGCTGAGGGCCTGTGGTATGAATTCTTGGAGGCCTGGAAATGGGCACCAACACCCTCACAGGTGGTTGCTTCCACAGGGGGGAAATGATCCTAAATTCCGGTGTTGGTGGTAATATTTCGGCCACCTAGGAAGCTCGAATATTACCACCATCACCGAGATCGGGATCATCTTCCCTCGGTGGAGGCACACCGACGAAATTGGTGTTGGTGTCAACCTCTAGGCCTGCGAAATTCATTTTAAGATAGACGATGGGGCAGAATCGTATGTAATTGCACTATAGAAAGGCGGACCGTTAAGTCCAGCGGGGAGGTAAATCCGAATACTCTTGCTTGCCAGAGAGGAGAATTTATGTTGTTGTGCAGCGTATGTGGTACAATACATGTGGTGCAATATATATATATATACATATATATATACATACATATATATACATATATATGTACATGCATACATACATACATACATACATGCATGCATACATACATGCATACATACATACATACATACATACATACATACATACATACATACGTACATACATACATACATACATACATACATACATACATACATACATACATACATACATACATACGTGTACAAATCTATATATATATATATATATATATGTGTGATGATGAAGTCGACGTGGCGCAGTCCATGACGTGCTATTTGTGTGGCGCAGGCTATACTGTGCAATCTACGTGGTGCTATCCATGTTGCGCACTCTATTCTGGGAAACCAAAAGGTATCGATACCGCTACTCCCCGGACCTCTCCTGGGGTGCGCTCTGACCAGAATCTCAAGGCGAATCCAGCGGTGGCGACGAGATCCTGCGAGGAGGCCCAGAAAGGGGAAAACGGCCGAAGGGTAGAGGTATGGGTACCTTTTCCTCCTCTGATATTTGGTGCAATCTGTCCGGTGTAAGCTATGCTGTGCAATCCAGGCGGCAACGGGGCGGCGTACGGCGACCACATTGCCGCCAGACCGACGGGCAGGTCCAGACGACGGGCGGCGGCCAGGCGCCGACGGGGCGACGAAGGCGGCCGAAGAGCCGCCAGACCGACGGGCAGGCCCAGCTCCTTGGGAAAGAAATTCGAACTCCTCGGTTTATGTCGGGCCTGTCCTCCTACAGGGGAATGTTCGACAAAATTTTACAACAAAAAAAAAGTCAACAAAAGACTCAAAAAATAGTCCCCAGACTATTTCTTTACTAGGTTTGAACATTCCCCCTGTAGAGGGACAGGTCCGACTTAATTCTAGGTCCTAGGTGCAAGCACTGCTTGTGGAATATCAGCATTCCTACCAGTGGTCCCGCTATATGCCTATTCTGACCAGAGGAATGAAATCTCCCCGCAGCAGCTCAGTGATGTGCGCTTCGGATTACATGTCAAGTTGCATGTGGATGTCAGTTTCGAGTCGCTTTGCGATTGTCAGTGGATCGCCATTGAATTTACACTGCGATTTGCACATGTCTATGTACAGGTTGATGTGCGTGTCGGTTTGCAGTCGATTTGCAATTCGGGTTACACTTCGATGTGCATTTCAACTTGCAACTCGATCTGCATCTCGATTGCATTTCGATGTGCGATTAGATGTGCGTTTCGATGACTTGTCGATGTGCACCACACCATCCCGTCCAAGCCTCTCTGGGCCGCCAGGACGCCTCCCTGGGGCTGTCGAGGCCTCTCCACAGCTTGCCACACGGCCCAGAAATGCCACCAAGGCCGCCTAGATGCCCCAACATTGCCTCAAGACGCAACCGAAATCCCCTAACAAGCGCCCAGCAGGTCCCAAGAGGCCTTCAACAGGCCCAAAGAAAAACCAAAGATGCTTTACAAGAGGCCGTTGAGAGGCCGAAAAATCATAATTTGCAGTAGGCGTTCAATGCTATTTCTTATCTTGCTCTTCGGTCGAAGATGGATTTATTTACAGTCTTCGAGGACCCAAAGAAACCAACTGAGAGCCCCATGGTGGCCCCAAGGAGAAAAGAGGAGGAGGAGGAGGTGGGTAAGAAAACAAAAGAGGAAGAGTAAAGGGAAGAATGCCGGAGGGAAAATTCACTGGAACTGAAAAAAATATCGTCGGCCCTTTTTGCCTCCCCCCGTCAAGGCGCCCGGCACGAGCTCCCGCCCGAAGGCGCCTCGAGGTCGAGGCCCTCACGAAGGAGGCGGAGGCTGACGTGGGATGCGCGGAGACCAGCCAGGCGGAAAGCCACCGTCGCAGTCGCCGTCGACGTCGCCGTGGCCACCGTCGCCGTCGGTGCCGCCGCCGCCGCCGCCGGTGCCGTGCCGCTGTCGGTGCCGCCGGGCTGTCGCTGCCGACGCCGACGTGCGCCGGGGACGGCCCGGCCGCGCTCCTCCTCGAGGGTCAGGCCTGGGAGCGCCTGGCCGGGGCGTCCGAGGCTGCGTCTGCTCGGCGGTGGTCCCGACCCCCCAGGGGCAGGACTCCGACCGCCTGGAGACAACGACACCCAAAGGCACCCCTCGATGGAACGACAACGAGTTCTTTCTGCTGCTCCTCTTCCTCCTCCTCCTCCTCCTCCTCCTCCTCCTCCTCCTCCTCCGCCTCCTCCGCCTCCTCCTCCTCCTCCTCCTCCTCCTCCCTCCTCCTCCTCCTCCTCCTCCTCCTCCTCCTCCTCCTCCTCCCTCCTCCTCCTCCTCCTCCTCCCCCTCCTCCTCCTCCTCCGCCTCCTTTTCCTCCTCCTCCTCGTTCCCCTCCTCCCTGCCCCCTCCTCCATCATCCCTCCTCCGCTCTGCCTCCTGTATGGGTCGTTTTCAAAATGTTGTTCTCGCATAAGCACCGCGCAGACTCGTCATGAAAGTCTGAAACAGCTTCACGAGTGGAGGGTGGCTGATTTTCAAAATGTAGCTGTCGCCTGAGCGCCTCGTACATTCATCTGAGGTTTGCAGCAGCTTCACGGATGGAGGGCGGCTCCGTTTGGAAATGTGGCTCTCACCTCAGCGCCGCGCATACGTTTTTGGGGTTCAAATTTACAACAGGTTCAGGGATTCGTATGGTTGGCGTCCCCGGAATGTTGTTCTGGCACGATTTAGGATTGCCAGGGCGCAACAATCAGGTTAATTCGCGGTGTTGAAGCCACAGGAACGCTGTCATGGCACGCTTCAGTAACGTTGACTAGCGGCGTCGAAATCTCAGGAACTGCGTTTTTGGCACGACTGGGGATTATCATACGCTTATCTTCCAACGGGGCACTTCCCGCAATAAAATTCGCCGGCCCAACGGGCCAGAGGCGTGCTAAGATCTCCGGTAACTGGTTAACAATTCTTCAAGTTCGCGCGCGCGGGGCGGCCCCTGGGGGTCCCCCGGCGAAAAGTACCCCGACCGCAGTCCGGGAAGGTCTACTCAGAGATGGTTTTGAAGGCCTTTTTTCGACACCCTTACGAGGATTGTGGCCTCCGAGGGGGGTGCACTCGACTACCCCGCCCCAAGAGGCCCCCAAGAGCCCCCCAAGAGGCCCAAGGGGGCCCCAAGACGCCGCCAAGGAGCCCCAAGAGACCGTGCCCGCTCTTCACTCCACTTCCTGCACTGAATCCCTCGTACGCCTCCTTGCTTCTCCTTATCACCCTCGTTGACGAGGACGCCGACGACACCGATGAGGAAGAAGCCAGCGACGCCGACGACACCGACACCGACGACGATGATACCGACGACGACACCTCGCACGGAGTTGGTCGTCCAGCGCGCCGCCCTCGTGCACCGATGGGAAACTGCCACATCCACGAATTCTGGAGTCGTGCCCCCGGCGCCTGGGAACTGGTAGCGGGCACATCTCAACGTCCTGCGCTGGTCGAGCTCCTGGACAAACCCGAAGCGGCGCACATGGATACGGCAGCCTCCCACGTCGACGACAGGGGTCCTGACTTCTGCCACCGCGCCGACCGCTGATTCTTCAACGGCCTCCGCCCTCGGGGGTCCCCAGGCCATCGACCCCGCTCCTGCAGGCCCCGCAGGCCCCGAGGCGAGACCCCGGAGTCACGCCCCCGCTGGCGTCGCCACCCCGTCGAGCTTGCGCAAACTTGCGCGCATTGGAGCGAGCCCATGGGAGCGGCGTGCTCTGAGGGCGGGGAACGAGGAGGAGGAGGAGGAGGAGGAGGAGTCTTCACCCTCCCCTCGGGGGGGGTGGGGCCCCGCTCGGACCACCCCTCCACCTACTCCTGCCCACTCGCCTTGCCTCGGCCCCCATCACCCTCCGCTTCACCGCCTTGCTGCGCTGCTCTCACCTTGTTCTGCCAACAGCGCCAGTGGCCTTACCCCCCCTCCCCTTCACGACATCGCCTCCTCCGCTTCCCACCTCCTCTGGCCTCACATGGTCCCGTCGTTCGTTCGTTCCCTCTTTTCTCTCTTGCCTCTTGTTGTTTCGACCCTCCCCCCAGCGACCGCCAGGAAGGAAGGGCATCGGGGGCATCGGGGCTTGATCGTTCGAGCTCGAAGCTCGAAGAAAGAACTACGGAGGGGGGGAGGAACAGCAGGAGGAGGAGGGACGAGAAGGGAGGAGGAGATGAGGAGGAGAATAGGGAGGGGGAGGAGGTAATGGTGGAGGAGGGAGAGGACGAGGAGGAGGAGGAGGGACAGGAGGAGGAGGACGACGACGACAAGGACAAGGACGAGGACGAGGAGGAGGAGGAGGAGGAGGAGGAGGAGGAGCAGCAGCAGGAAGAGGAGGACGAGGAGGAGGAGGAGGAGTAGGAGGAGGAGGAAGAGGAGGGAGAGGAGGAGAAGGAGGAGGAGTAGGAGGAGGAGGGGGGGAGGAGGAAAGGAGGAGGAGGAGGAGGAGGAGGGGAGGAGGAGGAGAGGAGGGAGGAGGAGGAGGAGGAGGAGGAGGAGGAGGGAGGAGGAGGAGGAGGAGGCGGAGGAGGAGGAGGAGAGGAAGGAGGAGGAGACGAGGGAGGGGGGAGGAGGAGGAGGATGAGAGAGGAGGAGGAGGAGGAGGAGGAGGGAGGGAGGAGAGGAGGAGAAGGAGGAGGAGGAGAGAAGGAAGGGAAAGGAGGAGGAGGATAGAGGGGGGAGGAGGAGGAGGAGGAGGAGGAGGAGGAGGAGGAGGAGGAGGAGGAGGAGGAGAGGGAGGAAGAGGAGGAGGGGGATGAGGTGGTGGAGGAGGAGGAGGAGGAGGTCGAGGAAGAGGAGGAAGAGCAGGAGGAGGAGGAAAAGGAAGAGGAGGAGGACGACGACGAGGAGGGGGAAAGAGCGAGGCGGGGAGGGGGAGGGGGAGGAGGAGAGGGGCACGGGGAGGGACAGAGGGGACAGGAAGAGGCCCGGAGGACGTCAGCTGTCCACTCCGCCGACCATGTCTGGGCCGATCCTGTGCGGCACCGGCGCAGATGACTCCCTGGCCAAGCCAGAAGGGCACCTGCATTTATCCTGGCGCCCAGGACGGGCCCGCCAGCCTGGCCGGCGTCGGCGGCCGACGCTGCCCACAGGCCTGGCCCCCAGGGCGGCGGCGCCTCCTCCTGCGACCCGTCGCGGTGCAGCGCCTGCACCAGGAAGTCCCGCAGGCCTGCGGCGGGGGGCGCGGGCGGCTGGCGCTGGCGCGAAAACCAGCGAGCCCCCCACTACGCCCGCCACGCGCGCGCGGCCCTTTGTGCCCGCGCGCGCGCTACGTCAGACCCGAGTTGTAGCATGCTGCGGGCGGCCGGCGCTGCGGCCGGGCCCCGCCGCAGCCATCCCTCCTCCTCATCATCCTCCTTATCATCAGAATCGCCCCTGGTCCCTATCCTGCCTCTTCCTCCATCCCGCTTGCGATAACGCAAACGTTACTATTACTGCGTGTGTCGAGCCACTGATTTCTAACTGGTGGTGCACTCAAAACCATGACACCCCTGCGCCGTATCAGCCTCCTCCCTCTGGGGCGCTGCCGGCGGGCCTTCGAAGCCGACGCGCCCGCTATCCTCCCGGTCCAGCAGGAGGCCCAGCTTGCCGCAGAAGACCTCCTCCTCGTCGCCCCTGCGGCCACTCAGAAGCCCGATCTCCTGGCAAGCAGGGAGGTGGCGGTAGACAAAACGGAAGGGGAGGACGGGAAGGAGAGATGGAAACAGAGAGGAGGGAGCGGAGGGGGAGGGGAGGACTCGAAAGGAACGAAGAAAAGGACGAGGCAAAGGAGGAAAGGGGGGGAAACGGATGGCAGAGTGTGACAACTTCCAGTGGGCTGCAAGGGACTTCGGGGGAAGTATCTCAAACTGTCGGAGAGGGGGGCACGAAGGACGGGGGAGAAGGTCGAGTGGCTGGGTCTGCCCAGAGAAAGCAGCGCGCCGATCCCTCGGGGAGGATCCTTTTCCTGCGAGGCTGAAGCAAGCGGGCCTCCCTCCGCGACGGCTGCAACCAGCAGCGACCAATGAATTGACCATTGGGGGCAGTCCCGCCTGCGTCGCCAGGAAAACTCCCAAACCTCGCACTCGTTTGGAGCAGGGGACTGGAAGGGAAGGAGGCAAGGTAGAGGACGGGGAGGCGGGGAGGGGGCGGTAGACAAGCTAGGTGCCCTAGCGTCACATCTGACGTCCTACTCCTCCCTCCCATCCTTGACCATGGCGTTGGTATCTCATCCGTTCGGACAGTCGGATGTCGAGCACGGCAATGGTCCCAAGAGGGTACGCGATGGAACAGCATGGCGTGGAAGAGCATGGCAAAGCATAGCATGTAATATCATGGCGTGGTTTTGCGTAGTGAAGCATTGCAAAACAAAGCATTTCAACGCAAAGCATGGCATCGTACAACGGCGCACACCACGCCATCGCTTGGTATGCCGCGGCATGGCACTGGATGGTTTGGAAAATAAGTGGCCCGTCTACGAGAAAACTGGGCCTGTCTGGAATGATGGCTCCATGACCTCCGCAGCAGTGCCTGTCCGATGCGGGCGCTTTCGAATGCCAGGTACCGTCCAGAAGCACAGGAACGAGGACAGCACTGCAGCGGGAGCACGATCTCGAATGACCGAAGCGCGAGAGTCAAGGCGGGACTGCAGCGAGAGCACCACTGTGGAAGAACAAGGAACGACTGGTGAGAAAGCATTAGGAACCAAATAATGATATGTTGTTCACTTCTTCATTTAACCAAAAAAACACGCGGAGAGGACGGGACACTCTCCAAACAGAATCAGGGTAGAGAGTAAAGTAATATGCATAGCATGTAAGCGCTAAAGGAAAACAGGAAAGCCCCGAATCCAATCGATAAGTCTGATCGGCAATCGAAAAAAAATCGAATCGGCGGAAATCGGCAGCCGAGCCGGGAGAAATCGAATCGGCGGACATGGGCAGGCTAGCATGCCTCGACTAAGAAATGGAAGCCCGAATCGGAAACCTAAGTCGAATCGAGTCGGAATCGAATACTGTCGAAATCGAATCGATCGAATCGGAAAAGTCGGGGGGAGGGCTATCACGAGCGGCGATAATATCAGATCCACGCCCTCGCAATCGGATTCCCGAACGTGACCCCGTGGATACGCGGTCGCATATATATATACGTTCCACGCGGGGTATATGCGAAAAAACGCCCCGCAACCACGTGGGTCGGGGCCCAAGGGTACAGCCCGGGAGGCCGTGGATATGGATATACTTCCGGCGCCAACGAATAGAAGAGCGCTGACGCTGGGAGCGGGGCCCTGCGGCGGACGCAGGCATGCCCACGAAACGCGCTCAACCGACTGCAGGAGATGGAGGCAATAACCGGCGCCGCCCCTCAATGCGCGGGGGGGTCAGCATCACCCGCGGGTGAGGAGCAGGGACGTCAGGGCAACAAAGCCTTCCCAGGCATATCAATATTAAGGGAGGGAGGAGGAAGAGAAAATAGAATTGCAGTGGCTAAAAGCTTGACGAGAGAAAGCATGGCGGCAATAAGAAGTAGACCTACGGGCTTTTCAACTCACCAATACAGATTGCACGCGCCTGGCGCTGAAGGCAACAGGCGGAAGAGCATCCGATTTGAATGGGGATTGCGCGGGCCATCGAACAATTCTGGCAGAGACGCGGGAACGGGGACAAGAAAACCAGAATTGTCCAACGCAACGCACATTCACAAATCAGCAAGGATACCCTGTCGCTGTCTGGCCTGACGGCACGGCGCGGCAGAACGCGGGCTCAGCAGCTGTCGGGCGCCCTTTCGTGCTCTTAAGAGCGGCACCGAAAGAGTCCACACGAGTAGAAGTGGCGCGAGATCTACCAAGCCGTACATCTGCGTTTCATGACCCCTGGAACACAAACAGAACGTCTGGAAGCCGATCACAAATGTCAAGCGAGGTGGGTGGTCTGGGGTCACGTGGAGGGGCGAGGTCGAGGTGTGACGAAGCGTTGACCAGGTAGGTTTCGGGCAGGCGAGAGAATGAGGGCGGTCATGAGGGCTGCGAATTCCTTTTCGCACAATCGCCTCGAGCTCACCGCCTCAATCGTTATCATACGGGAGGGACCTGCCGCGGGCACACTTGGTCACCTCTTCGCTGAGCGTGGCGGGTGCGACACTGCCCTCTGGTGATTGTCGTCCTCGCCAGCGTCGGCTGCTGCACGCGATGATGCGGCCGCGCGCCGACGCTTGGCCTTCTCGCCTCCACGTCGCACCTTCTTCTTGGCGTTGGTCTTGCCGTCGTCGATCCTGCTTTTGTCCTTCCTTTTGCTCTTGCCCTTGCCTATGCCCTTGCCCGCCAAAGGCCCCCGAGGAAAGATGGCGGCGCCGGCAGGGAGGGCATCAGCCCGGTGGAGTAGTCCTCGGCGGTGCCGTACTCCTTGTCCCTACCCCAGCAGTGCTCGTACTGCCGCTGCTGCTGCTGCTGCGGAGGAGGCCGTCGAGCGCGGCGCGACGGGGTGCGCCCACTGCGATCATCCCTCGGTGGAGAGGAGCGCAGCGACGGTTGCACACGTCCGTTGTGGACCTGGGGACAGGTTTCTGAGGGCCGCCCTTGCTGGTAGGCAGCGCCTCAGCAGCTTCGCCCGCGGGGGGAAAAGGGTCAAGGCCGTAGCCTGGCCAGCTGCCCAGGGCAACCCATT